CGGTAGCAACATCACGCTGTTTGCCAGTGAAGAACGGGTGGCACTTGCTGCACACGTCGAGGTTCAGGTCATGACCAACGGTGGAGCGGATTTTCATTACGTTACCGCAAGAGCAGCTAGCAGTAATTTCTTCGTATTTCGGGTGAATATCTTTTTTCATGGGAAAACCTCGGTTTAAGGCCGCGTCGCTCTTCCAGCCCTAACGCCAGACACCACGCGATGTTAAAAGTATAGCTTCAATACGATCATTTCGTACGAAGGCGCGAAATCATACAGAAATTAACCAGCGTATGCAAACTGATCCGCACTCTTCTACGGCAATGTGTATACTAACCCACCGAATTTCAAGTCAGGATGATGCTATGCCCGTTGCCCACGTTGCCTTGCCCGTTCCGCTTCCTCGTACCTTTGACTATCTGCTGCCAGAAGGCATGACGGTTAAAGCTGGGTGTCGCGTGCGCGTGCCGTTTGGCAAACAGCAGGAGCGCATCGGGATTGTGGTATCAGTTAGCGATGCCAGCGAACTGCCGCTCAATGAGCTAAAAGCGGTAGTCGAAGTGCTGGATAGTGAGCCGGTGTTTACTCACTCCGTCTGGCGATTGCTGCTATGGGCGGCAGATTACTATCATCATCCGATTGGCGATGTGCTGTTTCATGCCTTGCCGATTTTACTACGCCAGGGGCGGCCTGCGGCGAACGCGCCGATGTGGTACTGGTTTGCCACTGAACAAGGCCAGGCGGTGGATCTGAACAGCCTGAAACGCTCCCCCAAGCAACAACAGGCGCTGGCGGCGTTACGGCAAGGCAAAATCTGGCGCGACCAGGTCGCCACGCTCGAATTTAATGATGCCGCGTTGCAGGCGCTACGCAAAAAAGGTCTGTGTGATTTAGCAAGTGAAACACCAGAGTTTAGCGACTGGCGAACGAACTATGCCGTTTCTGGTGAGCGGTTGCGATTGAATACCGAACAGGCCACCGCCGTTGGCGCAATTCATAGCGCGGCAGATACTTTTTCTGCCTGGCTGCTGGCGGGCGTTACCGGTTCCGGTAAAACGGAGGTTTATCTCAGCGTACTGGAAAACGTGCTCGCTCAGGGCAAACAGGCGCTGGTGATGGTGCCGGAAATCGGCCTGACACCGCAAACTATCGCCCGTTTTCGTGAACGTTTTAATGCCCCCGTGGAAGTTCTGCATTCCGGCCTGAACGACAGCGAGCGTCTTTCGGCGTGGCTGAAAGCGAAAAATGGTGAGGCGGCGATTGTGATCGGCACCCGCTCCGCGCTGTTTACGCCGTTTAAAAATCTCGGCGTGATTGTCATTGATGAAGAGCACGACAGCTCCTACAAGCAGCAGGAAGGCTGGCGCTATCATGCCCGCGACCTGGCGGTGTATCGTGCGCACAGCGAGCAAATCCC